TTTAAAAAAGCCACGTTTGTTTAGAGTCGCTCAAAAATATTTTTTAAAAAAGCCACGTTTGTTTAGAGTCGCTCAAAAATATTTTTTTTAAAAAATCCACGTTTATTTCGGGTCGCTCAAAAATATTTAAAAAACAATGTTTGTTTCGAAACTCCCATTTTTTTAACGTTCATTGAACCAAATCCGTTTCAGGACATTTGGAGTCGATCTAACGATGTTCGCCCGTTCTTCCGTCTGTCCGTCTGATTGGGACGCACGGACATCCCAAGATCGACTCCAAATGTCCTGAAACGGATTTGGTCCAAAAAGACCTAGGGTCTAATACCATTTTTCGATGAAGCACGTTTTGGCCATATCAAATGATTAGCCATATGACTGATTGTAAAATGATTATGTCACTCTATATTCCCACAACTGTCCACACACAGACACACACACATGTGTTCATTCACCAGCTTACCATAAGTGTTATAAACAAAAATTATGCTTATTTTGCGGTCAACTCTGTTGTCACAAATCATCATTGCAAATTGCAAACAAACGCAAACAAAAACCAACTACATAATAATTTGGAAAATTTATTGTGACCGCACTTAACGATAATAATTGCTGTTAGGGTGGAGGATGTGGGAAATTCAAAATTTGAAAATGGGCAGAGCAAGGTAAAAAAAAATAACAAAAAATATTGGGACAGTAAATCAGTTTAATTGGAAAAGAACATTTATATAATTTCCAGGAAGGCAGTCGGAGTAAATATTTATTTCAATTCACACGAATAGTAAATAATTTAAATTGTAATTCAAATAAATATGCAATAATTTATTTAAATAATTGTGTAAATATGCAAGCAAAGAGAAAATGTTAAATTTATATAGAATGGATAAAAATTTCCCCTAAAGTATGCAATGCTTTTTTCGTTGAAGCCAATTGAATAGTAAAAGTATAATGAGAACTTAGGGAATAACATTCTTAATACAAAATCACCAATTAATAACAGATACAAAACATTTTTTTTTTTTAAAATTCAAGACTTGTAAGGAGTGTTAAAAAATACCTTTTTGTAAAAAATCTGTGTTCCAAAACAAAACAAAAAAATATTCAAAAAAATATTTTTTGATCAATTTTTTCTCGGACTTTTTTCGAGTTGATGCCTGCAATTAACATAATATTTTATATTAGGCGTAAAGTGTCGAAAGACGAAATATTCTACACAAATTTCATTCTAACTTTCCGGATAAATCATATATCTAGGTATAATGGTTAGTATGAAAATGTCAGTCTTTGCCTCTTTTACTACTAATATGTATTCAATCCGAGTGAAAATCTCCCTTTATACGTACTTTTTTTTGGATAAAATATCAAAGTAAGAATTATTCTAGATAAAATTTCATTGTGAGTCTCTGAACAAAAGAAATTTGTGTACTTAATATGTACCATGAAAAAATGTCATCAAATTTTGTTAATAAAAAATATTTTTCAAAGACCTTCAACAATCTTGGATTTGTTTAAAAATATTTTTTTTTTCCATATTTTTTCTAAAATATTTTTTTCTACAAATATTTTTTTCAAAAGCCTTCAACCCACTTGGATTTTTTAAAAAATATTTTCTAAAGGATCTTCAACAAACGAGGATTTTTAAAAAATATTTTCTAAAGGACCTTCAACAAGAGTGGGTTTTTTAAAAAATAATTTTTGAAGGACCTTCAGCAAATGTGGATATATTAAAATCTTTTTGAAGATTATATTAAAATCTTTTTTATGGATATATTAAAATCTTTGAAGGTCCTTGACTTCAATAAATGTGAATTTTTTAAAATATTTTTGAGAATTTTCAATAATATTTTTTTAAAAATATTTATCAAGGATCTCCATAAAACGTGGATTTTTAAAAAATATTTTTCAAAGATCTTCATAAAATGTGGATTTTTAAAAGTATTTTCTGAAATACCCTCAACAAACGTGGATATTTTAAAAATATTTTTTTCAAGGACTTTCAACAAACGTGGATTTTTTTACAATACTTTTCAAGGACTTTCAACAAACGTAATTTTTTTTTCAATGACCTTCAACAAACGTGCATTTTTTTAAAAATATTTTTTCAAGGGCCTTTCCTAAATCTGAATTGTTTTTAATACTTTTTCAGGGACTTTCAAAAAACTTGGAGTTTTCAAAATATATATTTTTAAAGGACCTACAACAAACGTGAATTTTTTAAAAATATTTTTTCAAGAGCCTTCAGCAAACGTTAATTTTTCAAAAATATTTTTTCAAGGACCTCCAAAGCACGTGAATATTTTTAAATATTCTTTCAAGGAACTTCAACAAAGGCGTTTCAAGAGCACTCAAAAATTTGCTTTTCCATGTGTGTTTTGAAACTCTCAAATATATGTTTAAGAAATCCACAGGTCTTTGAAAAAAAATATAAATAAACACTGTTTTCGAGATTTCCAATTTTTTTAAGAAATCCACGTTTGTCTCGAGACTTTTAATTTTTTATACCCTCCACCAATCCTTGGAGGGTGTATTAACTTTGTCATTTCGTTTGTAACTCCTCGTAATATTTATAATAGACTCTACAAAGTGTATATATTCAGGATCAGCATTAAATTCTAAGACGATCGAGCGATTTCCGTCTGTAGGTCTATCTGTCAGTCCGTCTGTCTGTCAGTTGTAATCACGCTATCTTTCCAACGAATTGAGAGAGAAGGCTAAAATTTTGCAAAGCTTACCAGTAGGCAGGTTACGTTCGTAAATGGGCCATGTCGGTCCACGTTTCGTGTAGCCCCCATATATCGGTACCACCAGATATTCGGTATTTTCATGATTTTAGCGACAGTATTTCCTGGAATCATTTCAAATTTCGTATTTGAAGTTCGTAATGGGTACTACAGCCTATGACAAATATTTTTTTTGCAGGCCCATTTCTTCGTATAGCCTCCATATAAGAATTTTTATTTAAGTGCTAGTTTTTGGAAATTTTCAAGTTCCTTCCAAGTGGTGGAGGGTATTTAAAGTTCGGCTCGGCCGAATTTAGCTGCTTTTTTACTTGTTTAAATTCAAATAAATATTTTTTAAATATCAAAAATGAAAAGACTCTCAAAAATATTTTTTTTTTTAAATCAACTCCTAAAATTTCCTATTTTTTAAAAATCCACGTTTTCTTTTCGAGATTATCAAAAATATGTTTTTTAAAAATCAGCTCTCAGACTATCAAAAATATTTTTTTTTAAAAAACTCCCAAAATTTCCTATTTTTTAAAAATTCATGTTTTCTTTTCGAGACTATCAAAAATATTTTTTTTAAAAATCAACTCTCAGACTATCAAAATTGTTTTTTAAAAAATTAACTCTCAAACTTCCCTATATTTTAAAAAAACACGTTTTCTTTTCGAGCCTATCACAAATATTTGCTTCAAGAGTATCAAAAATTGTTCTTAAAAAATCCATGTTCGTTTCGAGACTCTCAAAAATATTTTTTTTTTAAATCAACCTTTCTTTTAAGACTCTCAAAAATGTTAAAAAAATCAACGTTTGTTTGGATACTCAGGAAAATATTCTTTATAAAATCCACATTTGCTTCGAAACTCTCATTTTTTTTTTTTAAATCCACTTTTGCTTCGAGCCTCTCAAATACAATAATATTTTTTTTCGAAAAATCCGCGTCTTTTTTTTTTTTTGAAAAGTCTACGTTTGTTGGGGACTCTCAAAAATATTTTTAAAAAAAATCCATGTTCTTAGGGACGCTCAAAAATATTTTTGTTCTTAAAAAAATACACTTATGAGACACTCAAAATATTTCTTAAAAAATTACACATTTGTTTTGAAATTCTCAGAAATATTTCGTTTAAAAATCCACGTTTGTTTCGAAATTCTCAGTAATATTTCGTTTAAAAATCCACGTTTGTTTCGGGACTTCCAAAAATATTTTTATTTTTTAATATCCACGTTTATTTTGAGTTGGTCAAAAACATTTTTTTTTAATTCACGGTTGTTCTGACACACTCCAGAAAAATTAAAAAAAAATCGGACCTACTGATATCGGTATATTTTTAAAATATTTCATGCTGTGTCTACAAATTTATTACGTTTGTTAAAAGATTATTAAAAATATTTATAAAAAACCTGTTTTTTTTAAAAATAATTTTTAAATATATTTAAAACTATGAAATTCAAAAGAAAAACTGTTTTATAATTTATTATTTATAAGGTATCTCATAAATATAATTTTTTTTGTAATTTATAAATTGCCCTATTTAAATATTATATTTAATTTTTAATATTTTAATGGTGTTAAGAAAGAAAAAATACTGATTTAAAAATTTTAAGATCCAAACGCCTTTTATCTGCCAAAAAATAATTCCCTTTCAATTTTCAATAATTTCCCCCTGTCTTTTAATTTTGCATGTATGTATGTGTATGTGTCTAACCAAATATCTCTTAAATTAAATAAAATCGGATAACTAAACAATATGACTTAAATTGATTGCCAGTAAATTTTAAACCAATTTTAAAAAAAAAATTCTTAAAATTTTCAAACTAAATTCAAATCTAAAAACACAAGAAGAATAAAAAAACTTACCCAAAAAAATCTGATATAGAAACGAATGCATTTTCATGCCTTTTTCTTGGCCACACCTGAAAAAGGTCCTAACTACTGCTGCTGCAACAAGAAAACTACTCACTTTCACTTTTCCCCTTTCTCACTCAAAGACCACTGCTTCTACTCCAAAAAATTTAAAAAAAAATCTTTGATGCTTCATTCCAAAATACCACCAATCAGAAACTCCATTAACAAGAAAATACAACAAAAAATCTTTGAAACAAATTAAACTATTTCAAATGTTTACTAATAATAATATTTCTTTAACAACAACTACAAATTTTTACTGCCCCCCACCCTCGAAACTTCTTCTGAAATTCGTCTGAAATTTTCTGACGAATGTAACCCCAAACCAACAACGAAAAACGAATATGACTCGAATCGAAACGGCTAAAACATAGATACGTGTGGTATTTCTATGTTGGTTACCATGGATATTACGCATGCACCGACCAGGTAGACCGATCATTATGGATTTCACATCGACGCCATGTTCGGATACATCCTCGGAGAGGAAACATCAGATATTATCAGATGTGGAATTGAAAGAGCGGTAGGAAATCAAAATCCAATATTTATGTTGTAAATAGTTGAAAAAAAAAATCCAAAAAAAAAAAAAAAACGAAAATTAAAATGTAAAATAGAAATACTTAATTTATTTTAAATTATTTAAATGTAAATAATTTTACAACTTTTTTGAAAAATTTTTTAATAACTTAACTATTTTCTCATATTTTATCCCCTCTTCCCCTGGCAAAAATTCCCTCCCCCAAAAAACTATTTCTTAAACAAACTTTTAGCTCTTCGAAATCCCTGTTGGCCAACGTCTTGGACATTGATGACGACTTCCGCAACGTACGACCCATGACCCCGGGCGGCACCCTGCCCCATAATCCAGCATTTTATCGTACTGTTTATGGGTATTTAGAGAATTTGTAATACAGCGCCCGTTTGTGCCCTATTTATGTAATAATTATCTTTAAATTTGTTTTCTCCCCCTCGCTCTGTAGGCAAGGCGATGACGGCAGCATAGGACCGATCGGCAGCACCCGTATGCCGGACGCTGTTACCCATCACACATGCATCAAAACTCAAACGGAATACGAACTGAGTTTGATATTGAAGGAAATACGTTTCATCACGGATCAGGTAAGTTCAAGATGTTTGTAGTTCAAAATCGTTTTATGATATATTTTTTAGAAATAATAAAAAAGGATGAAGAGATCTCACAAAAATTATTTTAGAAAAAAAAAATTAAATTTTAAAAATAAAAAAATGTCAAGTAGTTTAGAAATATTAAAATTAAATTGATTCAGATACTTTGTTAGACAATTAAAAGCTAATTAATAAACAAACAAAATTTTTTTTAATAAATAACTCAGTAAATTGAGATTATCGAAAGTATTTCTTAAAAAATCCACGTTTATTTCTAGACCCCAATTTTTTTTAAAAAATTCACGGGGGTTTCGATACTTTCAAAAACATTTTTTAAAAATTTTTCGTGTGATTCAAGACTCTCGAAAACATGTTTTGAGATCCTAAAAAATATTTTTTTAAAAATCCACGTTTTTTTGAGACTCTCAAAAATATTTTTTAAAAAATCCACGTTTTTTTGAGACTCTCAAAAATATTTTTTAAAAAATCCACGTTTTTTTGAGACTCTAAAAATATTCTTTAAAAAATCCACGTTTATTTGAGACTCTCAAAAATATTTGTTAAAAATCCACGTTTTTTTGAGACTCTCAAAAATATTTCTTAAAAAATTCAAGCTTGTTTTGAGACTCTCAAAAATATTTCCAAAAAAATCCACGTTTGTTTTGAGACCCTCAAAAATATTTGTTTCGAGAGTAACAAATCTGAATATTAAACAAAAAGAATTTTTTAAAAAAAAATCGACTTTGTTTCGTAATTTTCAAAAACATTTTTGAAAAAATCCAACTTCTGTTTTGAGACTCTCAAAAATATTTTTAAAAAAATTCACATGAATTTCGAGGTTCTCAAAAATATTTTCTTAAAAAATCCACGTTTGTTTTGAGACTCCCAAAAATATTAAAAAAAAAATCCGCGTGTGTTTCGAGAGTATCAAAAATATTTTTTTATTTGGAATTCCACGTTTGCTTGGATACTCTCAAAAATATTTTCAAAAAATCCGCATGTGTTTCGAGAGTATCAAAAATATTTTTTTTTTATTTGGAATTCCACGTTTGCTTAGATATTCTCAAAAATATTTTTAAAAAATCCAGGTTTGGTTGGGGACTCTCACAAATATTTTTTAAAAAAATCCACATTTGTTCTGAGAATCTCACAACTATTTTTTAAAAAATCCACGTTTTGTTGGGGACTCTCACAAATATTTTTTTAAAAAATCCATGTCTGTTCTGACGGTCTCAAAAATATTTTTTAAAAAATCCACGTTTTATTGGGGACTCTCACAAATATTTGTTAAAAAATCCACGTTTTATTGGGGACTCTCACAAATATTTGTTAAAAAATCCACGTTTGTTTTGAGACTCTCAAAAATATTTTTTTAAAAAAATTCACGTGTTTTGTGAGACTCTCAAAAATATTTTTTTAAAAACCTCTACGTATTTTTTATAAATCCACGTGTGTTTCGAGACTCTAAAAAATATTTTTTTAAAACATCCACGTTTCTTTAGAGACTCTTAAAAATATTTTTTTTAAATCCACCTTTCTTTAGAGACTCTCAAACATATATTTTTTTTAAAATCCACGTTTGTTTTGAGATTTTCAAAAATATTTTTTTTTTAATCCACGTTTGTTTTGAGATTTTCAAAAATATTTTTTAAAAAATCAACGTTTGTTTAGAGACTCTCAAAAATATATCTTTTTTAAATCCACGTTTTTTGAGACTCTCAAAAATATTTGTTTCGAGAGTATCAAATCTGTTTCTTTAAAAACTCCACGTTTGCTTGGAGAGCCGAAAAGAATATTTTTTTTTAAAAAATCCACTTTGTTTCGTAATTTTCAAAAACAAATTTTAAAAAATCGGCGTTTGTTTTGAGACTTTTAAAAATATGTTTTTTAAAAAATCGACGTTTGTTTTGAGACTCTCAAAAATATGTTTTTTAAAAATCCACGTTTGATTCGAGACTCTAAAAAATCTTTTTTAAAAAATTCACGTTTAATTCGAGACTCTAAAAAATTTTTTTAAAAAATCCACGTTTTTGAGACTCTTAAAAATATTTGTTTCGAAAGTATCAAACCTGTTTCTTTAAAAACTCCACGTTATATTTTTTTAAAAAAAATCCACTTTGTTTCGTGATTTTCAAAAACCTTTTTTATATAAATAATTTTATATTTTATAAACAATTTTTCTTAAACCCACGTTTTCTTTGAGACTCTCAAAAATATTTTTTAAAAAATCCACTTTGTTTCGTGATTTTCAAAAACATTTTTTAAAAATCCACATTTGTTTCGAGACTCCCAAAAATATTTTTAAAAAATCCACATTTGTCTTGAGGCCCTCAAAAATACTTTTAAAAAAATGAACGTTTGTTTTGAGATTCTAAAAAATATTTTCAAAAAATCCGCATGTGCTTCGAGAGTATCAAAAATAATTTTTTTTATTTGGAATTCCACGTTTGCTTTGATATTCTCAAAAATATTTTTAAAAAAATCCAGGTTTGGGTGGGGTCTCTCACAACTATTTTTTAAAAAATCCACATATGTTCTGAGACTCTCACAACTATTTTAAAAAAACCACGTTTATTTTGATACTCTCAGATATATATTTTACAACATCCACGTTTTTTATAAATCCACATATGTTTCTAGACTCTCAAATACACTTTTAAAAAATCCACATTTGTTTCGAGCCCTGTAAAATTATTTTTAAAAAAATCTACGTGTGCTTCGAGACCCTCAAAAATATATTCTACAAAATCAGCGGGTGTTTCAAAACTCCCAAAAATATTTTCTAAAAAATCTGCGGGTGTTCAAGACTCTTAAAAATATTTTTTTAAAAATCTACGTTTGTTCCGAAACTCTTAAGAGGCTTCAAAATCCCATAAACCGATAAAGATAATTTTAAAATGCCCTACTTTGAATTACAAAATCTCAAAAGGACTTCTCACGAAAGAACAGGAGGACATTTCATTGAAGACCATAAAGTCTTCTGACATAGAAGACCGGAAGGTCTTCTCTCATAGAAGACCTTCCATGAGACGACCATCTTCTGGTCTTCTACGAGAAGACCTTCTTCTGGTCTTTTATAAGAAGACCTTATTCTGGTCTTCTATGAGAAGTCCTTCTTCTGGACTTCTATGGGAAGACCCTCATAGAAGACCAGCAGTTGGTCTTCTCTTAGACGACCAGTAGTTGGTCTTCTCATAGAGGACCAGTAGTTGGTCTTCTCATAGAAGACCGGTGATCTTCCCATAGTTTTTTTTTTTTTTTTTTTTTTTTGAAAAGTTATGAAAAAAATTTAATTGCCCTGTGTTATTAAAATAAACATAAAAATTAATTATTTTTACATAATATTTTTTTGTGAGATCTCTTGCCTTTTAGCGTCTATCTAATTATGTTTATTTAACAAATAACTCTTTAAATTTCTTTTCACGACAACCGAATAAAAAATAAACCAAACAAATGCAAATAAATTAATTATTATGTTATCATGTCAACACATTTGAAAAAAAAACAACAACAATAAAAAACCCTTGTTTACAATTATAATTTTTATTAATTACATATTTCAATTTTTTTCTAATATTTTTTTTTTTTTTTTTTTGGTTTAAAAAAAATCTTGTTTTGTGGACCTAATGACACACGAATTGACATAAATGACATTACACTAAACAATTACATTAAAAAAAATACACGGCACACAGCTTCGCAAAGAGGATGAGGAAAATGATATAGCCAATGATTGGAAATTTGCCGCTATGGTCGTTGACAGACTGTGCCTTATCATATTCACAATGTTCACAATATTAGCTACAATAGCTGTACTACTATCGGCACCACATATTATTGTCTCGTAGCTATATGAGAGAGGTGGTTATTGTTATTGGTTTTATCATAAAATCAATTTGTTAATTATTAAATTAATAACGAAAATTTTTAAATAAAAAAAAATGAATAAAACACACAAAAAATCTCAAACCCCCAAAAAATGCAAAAAAAAAAAATTAAAAAAAAACTTAAAAACAATACAAAAAATCAAACATAAAAACACAAGACCCTGGAACAAATACATCCAAACAAAAAAAAATCTCAAAGAAAAAAATACAAAAAAAATATTCATTAAAAAAATCTCTAAACCCAACTCAACACACACAGATACCAACAACACGGAAAGACCAAAACACTTGACATCAACAAAAAAAAAAAAATTGCAAAACTTAAAAACCAATTAAAAAAATAGTAAAACCACAACGTTTAAATAAAAAATTAAAAAAAAAAATAACGAAACAATAAACCAAAAAAAAAAAGACAAAAACTTAAACCTAAAATTTCTTCCTAAACTAAAAACCCTTAAACTAAAACCAAAAAAAAAAAATAAGAAATAAAAAAAACTTTAATAAGACGTAATTTAAATTAAATATAAAAACCTCCCATTTAACTCTAAATAAAATAAAATCCTTTAAAAAAACCTTAACTAAAATAATTTATTTTTCTTCTTAAAAAAAAAAAAACAAAACCAAAAATACCATACAGTTCCTTTATTCCCTTTAGTCCTGCTATCATTCATAAAAACTCCAACAACAACAACATAAATAACATAATAAAAAAAATAAATCACATTCTTCCATTTGTTTTCACATTAAAATGGCACATTTATTATAAATTTAAAAAAAAAAAAATAATAAAAAAATCTTAAAATATTTTCTAAATTAAGAAAAAAAAAACAATTTCAAAACTAACATTTCTATATTTTCATGTAAATATTAGGTGAATTAATAAATTGTTTTTTTTGCTGCTAAATTTCTCATAATAATAAAAAAAATGTAATTAAAACATTTTCACTTGTATATATAATTTGGAATAAAAAAAACTAATATTTAAAAATTAATATTAAAGAATTTCAAATAACTTAAATTTAAAATTTAACTATTAAATTAAATTAGTTTAAAATCAAATTTTCTTTTTCATAAAAAGAAATTAATAGAAACAAAGCAAAAACAAAAATTAAATTAAATTATTTTTTATGGCTTTCTGTTCAAAATATTTGAAAAATAAAAATGAATTTTAGGCTCTAAAATTGTTAAAAAAATGTTCTTACATTTTTAATTTTTTGAGCTTCCTTTTGAAAAGTAGGGGGTGAATTCAACCTCCTTTTTCCAATGTTCAATATTTTCGTAAAAAAATAAAAAAAAACAAGAATTTAATGTTCTAAAACTGTTTAAAAAATGTTATAAAAATTATCATTTGTCTTAGCTCCCTTTTGAAAAGTAGAAGGTGAATTCAACATCTTTATCCTAATGTTTGGATATAATTTCTTTAAAACAGATTTTCAGAGAACTTTTCTAACAACCAAAAAATAAAAAAAAATCGCTCCGAAATCTAGCACTTTTTTTGTACAACTTCCTTAATTTTCGCCCTTATCTCGTTAAAGTGAAAAATAGCTCAAATGTCACATTTTCTAGTACTTATTTGGATTAACTGCTCTTTGGGTCCAAATTTCGGTAAAAATGTTGATAATATCAAATATTCAGAATTCAAGCTGCAATTCTTCACATTTTGAAATTTTGGTACTTTTTCGGTACCTTTATTTTGGTACATAATTTATATTTTTTGTACATTTGTGCGAAAAGTTCTCTCTGGTACCTAATTGACACAATTTATATTCCACCTGTTACATATAAAAAAAAAACTTCTAGCTCATATCTTTCACAAACTATACTTTTTGGAATTATTCTGATTTATATAATTTTCACCCTTATCTCGTAAAAATGAAAAATAGCTTCAATGCCATATTTTCTGGTACTTTTTTGGATTAACTCCTCTTAACTTTCTTTTGGGTTCAAATTTCGGTAGAAACTGCTATGATGCTAAAATTTCAGAATTTAAGCTTACTTCTTCAAATTTCGAGCTTTTGGTACTTTTCCGGTACTTTTATTTTGGTACATGTTTTATGGTTTTTTGCAAATTTTTGCGAAAAGTTCTCTCTGGTACCTGATTGGTACTATATTTTTAACCACCTGCTATTTTCGACAACTTCGCATCCGAAGTGATCCTCATGTCAAATATAAGACTTCTAGCTCATGTCTTTAACAAACCACACTTTTTGTAAATCTTTTGATGCCAAAATGTATGAATTCATAATTACATGAAAAGTTCCTCCCAAATCTAGTACTTTATTTGTACAATTTCTATAATTTTCGCCCTTATCTCGTAAAAGTGAAAAATAGCTTCAATGCCAGGGTTTCTAGTACTTTTTTTGGATTAACTGCTCTTCAAGTTTCTTTTGGGTTCAAATCTTGGAAAAAATTGCTATGATGTCAAAATTTTAGAATTCAAGCTGTAATTATTCACATATCGAAATTTTGGTACTTTTGTGATACCATTATTTTGGTACAGGTTTTATGGTTATTTGTACATTTTTGTGAAAAGTTCTCTCTGGTACCTAAGTGGTACTATTTATTTACCATTTGCCATTTTCGACCACTTCACATCGGAAGTGAACCTCATGTCGTATATAAGACTTCTAGCTCAGGTCTTTCACACACTGTACCTTTTGTAACTCGCGTAATTCCGAAATGTACAAATTCATAATTACATGAAAAATTGCTCCGAAATCTAGAACAATTTTGTACAATTTCCTTCATTTTCGCCCACATCTCGCAAAAGTGAAAAATAGCTGAAATGCCACATTTTCTAGTACTTATTTGGATTAACTGCTCTTTGCGTCCAAATTTCGAAAAACTGCAATGATGCCAAAATTCCTGAATTCCAGGTGTACTCTTTCACATTTCGAACTTTTGGTTCTCTCTCGGTATTTTTATTTTAAGACATGTTTTAAGGTTCTTTTTTTTTGTATATTATTCCACCAACCATTTTCGACCACTTCGCATAAGTAATCCTCATGTCATATATAAGACTTCTAGCTCAGGTCTTTCATAGCTCAGGTCTTTTTGGTACTGGTTTAATGCCAAAATGTACGAATTCATAATAAGATGCTTAATTTTCGCCCATATCTGGTACAATTGAAAATAGCTCTAATGCCACTTTTTTTTTTTTTTGGATTAACAGCTCTTAAGTTTCTTTTGGGGCCGAATTTCGAAAACAAAAAAACTGCAATGAAGAATTCTAGCTTTACGTATTCACATTTTGAACTTTTGGTACTTTTTCTATACTTTTATTATGGTACATATTTTATGGTTATTTGTACATTTTTGTAAAAAGTTCTCTCTGGTACCTAAGTGGTACTAGTTTTTTACCATTTGCCATTTTCGACCCCTTCGCATTGGAAGTGGTCTTTAGGTTATATATTCAAGACTTGTAGCTCATGTTTTCCACATACTGTACTTTTTGGAACTCTTTTCACGCCAAAATGTACAAATTCATAATTAGATGGATAATTGCTCCGAAATATAGGCCTTTTTTGGACAACTTTCATAATTTTCGCCCATATCTGTTAAAATTTGAAAATAGCTCCAATTCCTGCTCTTTAAGTTTCTTTTGGTCCAAATTTCGATAAAAACTGTTATAATGCTAAAATTTCAGAATTCTAGCTGGATTTCTTTTCGTTTTGAACTTTTGGTACTTTTTTGGTACCTTAATGTGGAAGTTAAAATACAGTTTTCATCTACACTATGCGTAAAGTTCTCACTGGTACCTAATTGGTACAATTTTTTACAACCTGCCATTTTCGACCACTTCGCATCGGAGGTGGTCTTTATGTCATATTTAAGATTTCTAGCTCGAGGTTTTTACACACTTTACTCGTTAAATTCGAAAATGTACGAATTTTTAAATACCATACCAAATTTAATACCATTTTTCTAAAATCATAATATTTAGTACCTTTTTGTACATATTTCCAAAATTCTGTTACTTTTGCCTTACCTCGTGCCTATGGACGAAAATTAATGCTTTAGGGACAAATGTTCCATTTTAACACTCTTCTCACCTGAAGTGTGTCCCATGTCAAATTGGGGAAATTTTTTAGTACAAAAATAGTACAATTATAGAAAATTTCAACCATTCTGATACTTTTGGTACTATTTAGTACTCTTTTGGTACAAATGGAAAATATGTTGAAGCTTTAGACACCTCTTCCACATATAGCGATATTTATTCCAAATTTTAGTTTTTTTATAGCCCACACCACAGGCTATTATATATTTTTATATTTGTTTGTAACATGGAGAAGGAAGCGAGATAGACGCATAGTTACTCTTGAGAATCTTCATAGAATCACTTTGTGAGTCGATTTATGCATGTCCGTCTGTCCGTCCGTCTTTCCATGTATTTTTGTGAGCAAAATGCAGATCGCATTTATTTTCTGATTGGGATGAAATTTTCCAAACAATATTTATTCGGTCTAGGGACGAACCCTATTGAAATTGGTGAGAATCGGCTTAAACTGAGATATAGCTCCCATATATATCTTCAACCGATTTCGTATTATTTGTGCACCAAATGGCCAATATCAGTCCAAATGACCTGCTTTTTGGTACGTCCGACCGATTTCAGTCAAGAAATCTTGAAAATCGGTTTAGATATAGCTATAGCTCCCATATATATGTTTCATCCGATTTGGGCTTTTGAGGGACTTAATATGCACTCCGCAAAAATGATATTTGATACCGGATTTCAGATACATCCCATAAATATTTCTGTCAATTTCAGATAAGGTTATAGCTTCTATATATATCTTTACCGGATTTCGGGCTTATTGTGCAACAAATGGCTAATACCAGCTCAAATAGACTGAATTTTGGCACTAAAAAATATTGGAAATTATACTCTGCAACTAGGCAAATAGGACCGTTTAAGTACCCAAAAGGTACAGAAACATGTTTCCACAATAAACTCAAAAAGTACAGAAAAATAACAAACATTTAGTACCTCCTTGTAAATTTCTCCTATGAACCCCTTAGGGATTACTTTATTTCAGAGTAGAGCTGCTGAAGTCTTTCGTACTTTTTACCATAGTTACAAAAATTAAAATCGACTTAGTAGA